GATCTTGTTAATAGTATTTCCTCTAATTATAATTTAAAAGAAAACCTCAACATCTATTATATACAGCATTTCTATTGATTCCTCCACCTATTGCTCCATATATGGCATCTCTCAAATATTTATGTACATAAAAACTGGACTGGAACAAGTCACAAAGGAAACTATTGCTACTGTAATAATGAGTGCCATCCTTCTGAATTTGGAGACTTTGGATTTTAAAGGAAAAAGAAATCCTATTAGCATTTAAAATCCACACTTGTTAATATAAACGATGCTGTGCTTCAATGCTTAGATAGCCTAGACATTGGTGTTTGAACATAGATCTTTTTAATGTTTATATTTTATTATGTTTTACTAATCTAGGTGAAATATTAATATATTAATATATATTGCTAGTCCATATATGATATCCCACACGATAGATAGATAAATCCACACGGTCTTGTTTTATCACACATTTTCACGAGAGTTTCAAAACTGCTGATTGTTGTAACTGATGTTGCAAAACTCTCTGCTTCAATAGAGAACCCAGATACATATCCTTTAGTGAGTTGTACTACAGACCGGAAAATTGTAGATGGGACTATTTTAAATAAAAAAAGCCACTTAGGATAACTCTGGTAATGTTAGAACAATCCTTTAGTATTACATGTTACAATGTCAAGGGCTAAAAATGTATCTTTATTAAAAAAAAAAAAAAAGTTTGGAGCAAACAGCAGATCTTGGCAGCACCCACTCCAAGGCTTTAACTTCCACAAAGCAGAAGCAAGGTTTCGAAATTGGTATTCTGTGATTGTTTTGTATTTACTTTCTTCCTTCATCCCCCTTTTTTAATTTCTTTGCAGACATACAGCGAGAATTTGAAGTATTATTTACTCAAATGTTTAGTGATGTTTAGACTTGGGTGGAGTGGGTTTATAATTGCAATAACATTTACTACATAAAGCAACCTATTTTGTCTTAAAATAGAACTTTTAGGTGGGAAGGACCAAGAAAACAAAAAAGCAATCTTTTGGATTGTAATTGTCACAATCTTGCAAAAGGCAATGTGTCTCATCTTCTGAAAGTAGAGGGGGGGACAAGAAATTCAGATAAAACCTCCCTAAATTAGGGAAGAAGTCTCAATATCAAATGAATATTATACTCTCAAACCGTCCTTACAAAGCATTAGCTGAAGTACTTCATATCGAGCTCACTCATGCAGCTTTATTTTTTAAAAGAAAAGTTAATTTAAAATGTAAGGCCCAGTTTGTATAGGAGACAGGTGCTGCAACACACCCTTTTTTGCCCCACACAATTGGGCCATCTCATTGGAATCCTTGCTGGGCCTGCTTCTCTGGCTTTTGGGAACTCTTCCCACCTCCCCCTCGCCTGCATCAGCTCTCCCCGGGGCAAAGAGAGTGGCAGGCGAGAGAGAAGTGGGTGTGGGAAAGGAGCAGGTGTCTTAGGCATTTGGCAGGCACTCAATGGACAGCAAGTTGCACAAAATGCACCCGGCAGATGCAGCCATTGCTCGTGGGATTTCCACACAGGAATGAAGTTTCTCCTGCACACACACAACCTTGTATATCCTAAGAGACATATAGGCCTACTAATGTTTAGTGCAGAAGTGTCTGTCTTTTGCAGAATACATAACTTCATTTTCTAGCCACTTAGAAACCAAAATCGAGGCAAGAGACATTTTTTTTTGCATTAGGCCTTTTTCATATATATGCTATGTTGCATGTGTATATTCAAAATTTAAAATAAGGACAATTGTATTATCTTGCCATAATGAAGAAGCTTTTTGACCAAGGGACCAATTTGTGAGTTGATATGCTTAGATGAAGGGCAGATACAATCTTTTCTGCTGTCCTTTATTTTTTTTTAAAAAAACTGGATTTGAACAGGAATAATCCTTTGAATAGAGGATTAAATCTATAAAGACAGAGGCAATTTATTTCTGGAGCCAGACAAGCAATAATGTATTTTGAAGTGGAGAATTTGGACTTGTTTTCTCTATATACACAGCAGGTGAGGATTTTTTTTCCCCAACCAAGGTTGTGTCCAACAGGAAGAGAAGGACGAGATATTTTCAAATATTAAGTGGCACATGAGGATTGCCTACAACTCATATACTGTGCCATAATTTGAATAAGCACACAAACACCTTAGATGGCCATTCTAATGTGACCATGAGTGTCGCTGTATGTTTCCTTCAGAAATGCTTTTCACTAGAAATCTTTCAGAAAAAAACTATCCGCAAAGTTTAATGCTTATATTGTCGTGGGATATTCTCCTGGAAGTAATCAGTCTGAGAAAAAAAAATGAGGGCATGTTGTCCCTCTCATCTAATAGAATCTCTAGCTTAATTTCAGGCTTTTTAGAGTAATGGAGTATAAATTCATTGACTTAAATATCTGCATTCTGTCACAAGCAAGGAGGAAAATTAGGGAGCCTTTTAAACTCATGCATAATGTTGTGTACTTGCTGTACCACTTCCACACAAAGGGATATAGAATTAGGAAGAATTTCCTCATAAAAGCTTAATAGCTAATACACTGCTTGAATATACCACATTTCATTTGATATTAATTTTTGGAGTGTCATTAAACTGAAATTCAGTACCCAAATTAACCACTTTATTTACTCCCTCCCTCCCACTACCCTCTTTGCAACATAGTCTTGTCAGTGAAATCTATTGTCACTAGTTGTCTTGGTTGATAGGAAGAAAGTTTTGTTGAACCCCATGCAAAGAATCTTCTTTAAGGGTCACTAACTTGCACATCTCTAGCTAAAGTGTAATGGATATAAACTTGTAAATGTTAGAACTGCAACTGCTTGTAAATGTTATAACTGCAGCCAGAGAGATCACTTTAAAAGAGTCAATATTTCCCCCTCTCTTAGAAAAACATAGAAGGATTCTTCCTTTGGGCTGAGTTAAATTTTTTAATGAGCATTTCCCAAGCAATTGTTGTTAGATATTGCCTTCCTCCCTTGTTTTCTGACCTGGACATGTCTGGACACCTTCATGTTATGAGGGTGCATAAGATCTCAAGTGATTTTCCTTTTTCCTTAAAAGTCCTCCCTTCTGCCAATAGTATGAAGTGTACAGCATACTGTGCAGGAAAGAAGGGCAGGAGCAGCCAAGAACATTGCCATCAGCCAGAAAATGCATGAGTTAAATCCCCACTGGGTAACAGGCGGTGTGGTTGAACTTCCCAGGTGGGGTCATTAATGAGGAAGAAAAATGCTAAGATTGTGGGGTGTAGAACTGCTTTGAAGAACCGAAACAAATTGGGGGTGGGTTGAAGGAGATTGAGTAAATTATCCTAAATCAGAATTGCCTATAAACCTCACCATCATATAGAATATTATTAGTAGAGGATTATAATATCAGTTGGAACAGTATTGGACCTGTCAAATTTTAGAGAGAAAACTGTGGGGTAAATGTTTTGCTATTTGTAGACAGTTAATGCAGTTGTTTTAGTGAAGACAATTGTGTTCAAAGTAAACTTCCAAATCTTGATCTTAAAAATATTTTAAATATCAACCAGTGTTACTATTTATGGTATGCTCAAGTGGTCTGCTGAGAGATTAAGAGATGGGCACAAGGAATTACTGCTTTTTGTGCAAAATATACCTCTGGTCACTGGGACCAGAGTTTTAATCTTCTGAGCTTTCAGACTAGTGCTGGAGCCTCTCTACAGAGAACTTCTCTCTCACCAAAATGTGTGCTTTGGGCTATTTATGTGATGCCTGGTTATGTGTGTTTTTTTAAAAAAAATTGATTGATTGAGGCCCTGATGGCCAGTTATTAAGTCATTGGCTGTTGTGTACTTATGCTGCCAAGTCCTTGGCTCATAAGTACCTGATAAGCTAGTGGTAAATTAGCACTCCTGTTGAGTGGTGGGGCCTGTTTTCCAGGCTTCAATCATTTCCCTGACTTGGCCAACAATCCTAGTATTTGCAAAATGGAATGTATGTCCTTGTTCATTGCATTGTAAGGCTATCAATGAGTTTGGGTCTTCTCATCTTACAGCTCTCTCTTGTGTACTTGCAATTGGATGCTTAGCTTCCTCCTTGTCTCTCCTATATAATCACAGAAGCAATCCATGCAGGTCACAAGGGCAATCATAGTCACAGAGGCAATTCATACAATGCCTCCATAACTATGTAGGACAGACAGGGAGAAAGCTAACCACCAGATTGCAAGAACACAAGAGAGCAGTCAGACGAGGAGACCCCAACTCATTGATAGCCTTACTTTGCAATGAACAAGGGTGTACATTCAATTTTGCAGATACTAAGATTGTTGGCCAAGCAGGTCCAAAGATAGCCAGGGAAACGACTGAAGCCTGGAAAACAGGCCCTTTGTTATCAACAGGAATGCTGATTTACACTAGCTTATCAGGTACTTAGGAGCCAAAGATTTGGCAGCACAGGTACATAACAGCCAATGACTTAATAAGTGGCCATCAACACCTCAATCAACGATTTAAAAAAACCACACACAACCAGGCATCACATAAATACTAAGCATAGAATAGCCCAAAGCACATATTCTGATGACAGAGAAGTTCCCTGAGGATGGGCTCCAGCATGTCTGAAAGCTTGGAAGACTAAACTTCTGGTCCCAGTGACCGACCCAGACTGAATCCTGCAACATTATGCTGGGATATGTATATTTGCCTTCATTCGTGAAAATATACCTCAAACACTTACCTGGCTCAAAAAGGATTACTAGCAATCCAGAGTATACAGTATGGTGCAGCCCTTCCACATTCAGTTTCTGAGCAGAAATCTGCATATTTCTATCCAAATTAAAAAAACAAGTACAAATAAGATTTTTTTTCAATGCTTATATTATTTTCCTTGCACAACATGTATTGTAATTGCAATTTGCAAAAAAATTGCACATCATGTCTGAAACAAAAAAAATGTTCTAGGATCAGATCTTAAATCAAATCTGATCTATCCTGGTTGTGAGTCAGTACTGTGAGCAAAAGTTAAATCACTTTTTACACAGCTGGAAATCAAGAATGGTATTAACATAAGTGAAAGATACCCTCAATTTACGATAACCAATTCATGTGCATGAACTAGTTTGCCATCTGCTGTAGTAAGAATGCAAAAAACAAAACAAAACAAAATACACATCCTTAATTGCTGAATTTGCCCTGGGGCAATCAGAAACTGAGTCCTAACCCACAACTTTAGTACATACTTTCTTTGCAAGGATACTTTAAAGGCATAGTGAAGTAGGGAAAAAGGCTTGGAGGACTGAGAGAACATACATTTTTAAAGTGTGTGTACAGAAAAAGTGCTAGCCATTTCTACTTAATCAACACAAAACAGATTTTCTCCCTTGTACTAAGGAAATCCTCTTATTTCTGTGGAATTAAAGAAACATCCAATCATAAGAAAGTGTTCTAGATATTAACAGAACAGCATATTAATTATGAGAAAATATGATACTTCCATCCTGCTCTACACCCAATAGTCAGTTGTCTTTTCTCAGTGGCCTGAAAAAATCATTTTTCAGTTCCTTCAATTTTCTCTATCTTCTCATTCTTTTTTCTCCTATGAAAAGGAAATGGTCATATCTCATAGAGAGACTAGATGCTTTGTGTTTGGTTGAAAATATAAACAATTTTAGAAAATCTATTTTTAATAGATAATCTAAACAAAACACTAGCACCAAAGGCATATAGAAATGTATGTTTCAGTTGGGACTTCTGGAAACTTTAAAGGTTGAATTATGGTATTCCATATTATGGTAATTTACAAGTGTCACCAACTGCCAAAAAAAAAAGCTAAAGTACTTTTACAGCCACCTGTATCAATAATTAAGGATATGGTGTAAGATCTCTGCTTTTGGAACAGAGTGAGGTAGCTGTCTGAGATGTAAGCCAAGAATTCTACTCATGATCCTCCCAAAAAATCCCCCATGGAAACTGAAGTATGGTTGACATTTCCATGTTACCTACTAAACTGGAACCAAATGTGGGGTTCCACTATGACCCTTTGTATGTTTTTGTGATTTTTGTATATAGCAAAAACATGAAACCTAACATTCAAATGGAAGGAGGCAAGGACTACATCCCTCCATTTGTAACTGTCTCAAGATGCCACTTACCCAACCCACCTCCTTAACCATGCTTACAACAGTATCTTCCTATATTCCCTAAACAAAAGTACAATATGAAGTCCCACCCAAAGCTGCTAAAGGCCTGGACTTTCCAAACTGTCCCAACAATATCGCTGTTTCCTCCTACAAAATAAATAACATTGCATCTAAGGACAGACTAACGTTCATGTCACAGGACGGATTGATCCTATAGCCATGAATAGGAAGTTACAGACCCAGGATTGACCATTATAGAAAGATGGGAAGGGCTGGACATCTTGAGAAAAGATGAAAAGAAAAAGGCTCAATTAGACTGAGGAGTAGCACTTGAAGTGCTTCCCTCAGATTCCCGTTTGATTTTAGCAGGAGGATCTTGTCCAGTTTTAGCCTCTCCTTCAGCTTCTTCCTTGGCACCATCGTGTGTCTTCATATGCTTGCTTAGATGGTCACTTCTCATGAAGACTCGATTGCAAACAGGGCAGGTGAATTTTTTGGATCCTGTATGCGTCTGAAGGTGCCTTTGCAATTCATCGGAGCGGGTGAAGCGCTTTCCACAGAACAACCAATTGCAGACAAAGGGACGGTCACCACTGTGCCATCTCAAGTGAGCCTTCAAATGGGATGTCTTCGCATATGCCTTGCCACAACCAGGAATATGACAGTTGTGCATATGCTTCTTTTTGGAATTATCAGGGCACTGGCCCACCCTTTCAGCTTCTTGACAGTTAGGACATCGACAAGCAGCTTGGCCAGAGCTCCGGGTCACTGAACGTCGTGAGCTTTTTGGTCTTCCGCTACTATCCCCAGCTTGCTCCAATGGGTGAGGCTCTTGAGTAGAATCCAGGGATTTAATAACTTCTTGGTTCATAAGGTGTGGTGCTGAAGGCAGCAGGTGATGAGGTGGACCACAGAGTTGATGTTCTGCAGAACCATAGCCACCCAAGGCTGGCTGAAGCCCACTTGTGTGGCCTGGTGGTTGGAGACCACTTTGAAGATCCATCCAGCTAGATCCAGCATGGAGATCCCACCATGGATTGACATTATTGTCATCGGTGGCATTGCCTGAATGTGTAGGTCTAAACCAAGGTTCATAATGCTGAGACATATCCGGTGATGCTTGTAAAAGCTTAGCGTATGACCCGGGTGGCAGCTGGCTTTCGCTGTCGAGATCTACCCTTGAAGATCCATGCAGCTCGTAACCACTGTTACCCGAGTATTCCGTTTCAGGTGCAGCCAAAGGCAAGTGCTGGAGTTCTGTAGGTTGCAGAGGAGATGGAAAATCTCCCCCACTTTCTGGGCTGGTATGAGGTTGATATGTCTGCAGAGGCTGCAGCTCCAAGTGGCTTGGAGAAGAACAAGGTGTCTCTGAGCACTGGTTGCCAAGAGAACCACAGACGGCTGTGAGCATTGCAGAACTCCCGTGGTGAGTAGGTTCTTAGACACACCTAGACGTAAAAGAGGGAAGAGGGAAGAAAGAGAAGTTAAGACATCATCACTCACAGTACCAATGCATTAAAATTAACTCTCGTTTAGTTAGCACAACCCCAACTTTCTGGTTTGGTCTCCAACCCAAGTGTTTTGACAAAATGGAAAAATATATATGCCTAAAATGTAATGGAAATTCCTTGTCCTAATGAATTTCAAGTTCATGGGAGTAATTTTGTGACTAAATTGTGTTAACACTTCTTGCTAATAATTATTTTCCTAAAAAAAAAAAAGCTCTGAATTCAAAACACATTGGGAGTTTGAGGAGTTTCTAATAAAAACTGATTTGTATTATTGTGTTTAAAAGCTTGACCTATGTTCATTGTTCTGACGCATCTTTGAAGGTAGGCCTCATGCTGTCTGACAATTATTGAATAATAGTTTGATGTTTTAATTTGCACTGTTTGGAGAATTTGTACAAAGAAATAAATAACAGTTGAACCAAGAATTTTCTTTTTAAATCTCCTCCAGTATTAACTCACTAGACAAACAAATGCAATTTTTAAAACTTTCCTCTTACATGAAAAAACAAAATACATTGGTGAACAAGATGAATCTTTAAACAAACTCTATTGACATTATTAAAGAACTTGCTGTTTACAATTACTGCTGAAAACTAGAGACATTAGGCAAGAAAAAAGCCAGTATTTAAATATGCAATATAAATATGTCATTCGAAGAACGTATGGAAGAAATCCCAAACCCAAAGATGATTATCCTATAATGTTGAAATCTCTTGAGTACATATACTGTAAAGAATATGTAGGCTCTCTGCTGAGAAATATGACTGTATTTCCCAATGTTTGCTACACTCACATGGATTAAAGTACATGGTTTTCTCACTCCAGTCTTTCAAAGCCAGCAACGCCAAACTAGTAATTTCCTTCAAATAACTCTGATATGAACACCTGCCGTAATATCCAAGGTCCCTTGAAAGAACAATGATTCGCAAGAGGCACTTCATACCATGATACTTCTAATCAAGTTAGATATATATTTTCATGGTAGTTATCTTATATTTATCTTTAAAGGGGAAAAAACAAGCACTGTGGTAGAGGTTGTTGCGGTGGGAGTAAGGGGTGGAGAAAAGACTTAAACATAGTTTACTCCCTTTTCCTTCTTTAAAAGCCTCTCTCAGAAACAGACCCTCTAATCGTCAGCTTCAGAGAACAGATAACAATAATTATATCATCTGTATGCAGTTTAGCTGCACAATTCTCACTTCAGCCCAGAGGAAGGAGACGGCTTGCCAAATACCTAGAATACAAAATACTCAGCCTGTATTTTTCCAGAGGGAGGGAAGGAAGAGGGAGGAAGGACCAATGATGATCTGAATTGTTGAATTATCTTCGTCTTTCAAATATATTTCAAATGTAAACATAGAAGACGTACTTAAAAATAATGCAATCTTTCTCTGTCTCTCTCTCCCCCCACTCTCTCACACACACAGCGTGACTGCTCAATATAGAAAGTTTACTCCTATCAGGTTTCAACCAATTACTCTGGCTAGTCCAGAAGACAGATAAAATCAGAAGTGATGGAACATCGCAAAGAATGCCTATCCCTTTCTCCAGAATAGCTTGCTCTGACTCACTCTGTGTCTGTGTGAGAGAATTACGCTTCCTGTATTTGCACACACCTCAGAAATCTCTTACTTCTATCTATGCCAGATCAGCTTTTCCCAATTTGGTGCTCTCCAGATGTATTAGTTTACAACTTTTATGAAGAATGATGGGATTTGTAGTTAGGACTTCCCTCAGGTTGGGAAGGTCTAATCAGAGAAGAAACTGTTCTGATTTAACACTCTTCCACTCTTCCCTTTTTAGAGCAAATGAAGTTGTTACCATAACTGGCTAATCTTCCTCCTAAATTATTCCTTGTGCAAACAACCTGCTTGTGCAAGCAATGAACAATCACATTCTTTTTGATGCTCAGAAATATCAAAGGTAACTTTCTTCTTGTCTCAATCAAGGAGACAACACAGACAACAACAGAAGGGAAAGTAAAATGTCTTAATAGTTTACTCCAGAGTCCTAATAATACATGGTTATTGGAAACACTAATTTTGATTTGCTTTTATTGTAAATCTTAACAGTATGTATACACACACACACACACACACACACACACACACACATATTTAAAGTCACAACCCTGGTATGCCCCAATTATGGGAGGAAGCTAACTGCTTCCATTCTCTGTCAATCGGCTCGTCACAAGAGTCCATAACGACAGAAACCCAATATTCAACATATATATATATGTTGTATTTGTGCTGATAAATAAATAAAGGGAGACTAGTATAGATCTATTTCAAGCTATTTAGCTCTCATCAGCTAGCCATACCCTTACCCAGGTTCGAATCCCAGTAAGGGTATGGCTAGCTGATGAGAGCTAAATAGCTTGAAATAGATCTATACTAGTCTCCCTTTATTTATTTATCAGCACAAACAAAAAACACACACACACACACACATATTCATATTGTGCAAATTTTATTTCTAATAATATCTGTAAAAGTAATTATTATAATATTGAAAAAAGCATGTATATTTAGCAAAGCACATATGAATATAAATGTATCAGGAGAAATGTGAACATATTAGTTTTTGTAGGAATTTTAAAAAGTTCACAAGATGTAATAGGAGAAACAATTTAAAAATGGATTAAAAAATGATCAATTCTTCTGTGTCAACTTCAAATTTTAAAAAGAACCAGAATATGTTGCTTATGAGATGCATTACCTTCTATTTACTTGGAAATAGAAACTATCACTTTTCTTTCTTACTTTAACTTTTAAGATCCTATTCTTAAAATAAATTACAGCGGAAGAAACTAGGACTTCTATTAAGTTTGATAGATTTTCAGTAAACTATTGAAGACTGTTTTTAATCCTAGTTACTAATCATGACTGGAATTTTGCAAGATTTCTTTAATGACTAATATCTCATTTGCATTATTCTTTTCCCATTTTATTTTTATTTATTAAATTTACATGCTACCTGCTTCAATATATCTAACTCTGAGCAGCAACTCTGGGCTACTTACAATACAATATTTTGTTTGTTTGTTCAGAAATTGCCCCTTTCCTCCAGTTTATTCACTGGCTTTGGATTATTTTTATTTTATTTTCTGCGTGAAATTCTGGAAACTGTACTTGATGTAATAATAGTAGTGAATCTATTAAAAATGATCATCATGACAAATAAAAACTTAAAATATAAAAGTGTTACTTTGCTGAAGAAGGTAAATAATCAGTCTTACTTTGCTTTTCAGAAATATGTTATAAATATTTGATTAGTGTAAGTTGACATTCTCCAGTGAAGTTCTAAGATATCTCTTGATGGGAAGAATACAGACCAATAATAGGAGTGCTCTGGTTTTTTTTAAAGCTCATATCTGCTTAAAATTTGCATACTCTTATTTTACATAGGTACTTGCACCCAGGAAGCTATTTAATAGACATCTCTTTAACATTGTGACTTGTGCATCTTTTTCGTCTGCTACTCAAGCCTTATCACGTTGACACGCAATTTAAAGTTTCTTCCTTTCCTTTTTATAATTAATTTTTAAACTGATCTGACACTGGGAAATCTTTCTAAAAAGGATATAAGGTCACCCCACTATTACTGCATCACCATCAAATGAGAGTAGTCATACATGTCACACTCTGCCACGGCTCTAATATAACTGGGAAATGTAGGATAAGATATGACATGACACCATAGGTTTTAAACCATTATGCAATAGGAGAAGTGGAGGCTTCTGCAATGTGAGACTGAAGATTAAGATCCTTTGTTGAAAAAAATCAGTATACAGAAGATTAAATACTTTAGCAATTAAATACTAAGTATATTGTATTCTATTTGGCATAAATATGGCACAATCGTACATAAGTGTAATTTGAACTATAGGACTATCCTGTAAAGTTTAATTTAGATATGTGAGTCCTTTCAACCAATAATCTGGAGAAGCCATACAATTACAAATTCTAACTTCCTTAAAAGTGGTGAAATCATCCTAGATTTACATCACTGATAGAAAAATCATCTTTGCAAAATAAAGCTTTGTGCAATACAGCAACGTTTCCCAGCTTCAGCAGCTTTATCATGAGTGAACTCGAACTCCCAGAATTCCCCATCCAATATGCTGGTTGGGAAGTTTGGGTGAAATGTGACAACTTGCTGCAGCCAAGTCATCATGGCCAATTCACCACAACCATTTTGCTACGGTCAATTCATTGCAGCAAACTGGCCAAGGCCAAACCACTAATTTGCTTTTGAGCCATCTTTTATGCCACTAATAGAAATGGCCATTTAATGAAAAGAGAACAGAGCTCATCCACGGAAGCATTTTATCCTGATTATATAGTATTGCTTCTCTTGGTGTCACACAAAATAGCCCTTCATCTAATAGTTTCTTATTTTTCCTTTCAATAATTTTTCTCTTCTGATTTCTTGTTTTTCCCCTCCAAACCACTTTTACGATAGTTTTGTTGTGTTACCCACTCAATCAAACTTTCTTGGTGTTACTGACTAATGTGTATTACAATATTGCACCATTATTGAACAACTAGTTGGAGGGCTGCTAGCATTAGCAATGAAAAGATATTGTACAATCATACGGTCTTTTCCTCTTTGGGGAGATTTAATCAGAAAAGAAAACAAAATTGGAAGTTATACAGAATTGGGAGAAGATAGGTGAATTACAAGGGCAGAGTAATATGATCTTGGAATTTTTTCTGAATATTAGATCTTTTAAAAAATGCTTTGAAGCATGACAATGGTGGAAAACATTTTGAAGCAATTTGTATTGCTCCAGATACAAATATACTGTACATTAAACAGAATTTAAATATGCTATCTAAAGCAATGAGGGAGTAGAACTGTGAATAAAATTGAACTTTATTAAAAAGTGAACTGCTCAGAAATACAATCTGCATTCCCGCACAGGTGCCAAA